CTGAGTGGTCAATTGTCACCTCACCCCTTGTCTATGTGTGCCCCCCTTAAGTTCTCCCTCTCAACAGTGTGAGCCCATTCTTTTCTAGCCTGCCTCAATTTGATGCTGAGAAAGGGCTTACAGTGACAAACATAGGCCTTAAGACTATGTTTATAAAGGTGACAATACATAGTACTCTTGCTGACATGAGGGAAGTGGTTTCGTTTGAGATTGGTAGCATCATAAGCTAAACCAGATGCAAGCATTCTAGCAGTGGAACGACAGTCAGGCAACAAAAGCTTGGTGGGACAACCTGGCTTAGGCATAACAAAGTACAGATCACTAGTAAGGAGGAGCTTGCAGTGCAATCAGGAGACGGTAGAACGAGAAAGGCTAAGCCTTTTGGTACACTCAGAGTAAGACATGCTAGCATGCTTGTAGTCTAATAGACATGCTTTACAAGTGGGTGTAGTATAGTGCATAGAGTAGAATAGAGGTAATACTAAAGCCCAGGGTGCAAAAGGAGGCACAGGTGTCGAAATAATGAGCACTGGGGCAGCCTTTTTAAAGTGTATGTGCTGCATGCATATGTAATGCAACAGCATGTTTTTTTTAGATCCGTCCGTCTCGTATAATTACTGCACATTTTGCAGTCTTTTTTACATACATATATTCACAGTATATCACACTTAATTTACATGTAATTTATATGGGCATAAGTGTTGTGTGGAATGATGTGTAGAGGCAAAATGAAAAACACGTGGTGTGTTGCAATACTTTTGACACGCACTGTAGATGGATATCAAGATTCTAAAGGATGGTAACAAGAATAAATAACTAAGCCACTGAATAATATACAGAGTTAAGGGCAATTCCTAGCAACTAGTCATTATTGCAAGAGAACAATGGTTTTGCATCTTCAGACACTCGACGTTCCTCCACTATTCGAGTCTACCACCAAAGCTCCTATTCTGTATAAGCTACATTGACGACATATACGAGAAGGTGAACGTACCTTCAGTGAATTCAATGTCACTTATTGTCCTTGATCTATAGTTGGTTCCCTCATTCACTCCTAGCTCAGCTGCCTCCTTCAGATTGACAAGGAGGTGGCTTCCGAGGACACTGAGGAGGGTCGGGTTCCCGAGCGCGCTTACGAGAGTAGAAGCAGAGAGGTTGTCATCCACCAGTCTAATTGAGACCAGCTGCATTACACAACAAAATATTACACTATATTGATTGGTCAGGCCTGGCCATTGTCATTCTGGAAGTGGATTCTGCTCACAAACCGAAATATAAGACCTGATCTTGAATAAGGACCCTGACAAGATGGAATCCTTTAAATCCGGAAGACATCCTCCAGTATTCAGCACCCTTGATGAGAGATAGGGATAGCAAGATTGTCCCATATATTAAAGGGATGGCCCTGCTCTGAATTAGTCCAAATTTATGAGACAATTACTATAAATTTTTCACCATCCAATGATACCCAGTGTCACTGGAGGTTTAGTAAAAGCAGCACAAACTTTAAAGTCCTGTGCAAGTCTCAGTGATAAAACTAAATTGTACCTTCTCAGTTACATTTATTCAAATGCAAAAGTCAAGTTTTACTCCTACCTTCTTCAAACGATATTATATAAATAAGAAGGCCCGAGCCAAGCCCTGCCTCTATGACAAATAAAGTCTTAAGGCAGATCGAAAGCTTCTTGTCTACAAAGCATTTCAGCCAGACTATCATTCACGACAGCAGAATACTGACCCTGATGGTAAAGTGCCAATACTCGGATTTGAAGAATGTCTGTAAATTTGATTGTTAATGTATAACAACTTCACTGATAAATGGAAAAACAGTTGAAACAATCTCATTACAGTCTATAAACAGAATTCCACTCAAGCCTGATGACTGAATTGAACAATTATAATATAGAATAGTATTAGATGGCTTACTACATATTTGACTGGCCCGAAAAGTTGCTCGACCTTGCTAGAAAGTCAATAATTTGCGTTGGTAGTCATGATGAAAAACACACAACTACGAGTAAATTATTTTCAGTCGAAGGTCAGTACAGACTTATCATGAGCTGCTCCCTTCCCACCTCAAAAAGTCCCAATTAAAGAGGTCAACTAGAAATAAAAATATGTACATCAATTGCTTCATTCGAGCTGATAAAATAATGTAAAAAGTCTCCTTACAGAGCATGCCCAAGATTGGTGCAAGAAGTGCAATGTAGCGATTCTACATCTCTAGTGTTGAAATAGCCAACTCTACAATACTGTTGTGAATGCTCTTACCAAAAAATATATTATGCTTGTAGAACTGCACGGGTTGCTCTTCGCCATGGTCACTAAACATACATCTGAAGAACTGAGAATCAGGCTCACCCAAAAATAGTGAACCTAAACATTGACAGATCAATAGAAGTGCTGATGAGACAATTCTAGTGTGTCACTGTGTGATCATCTTACCTCTTTGTCCATGGTCGTAACTTGAGTTACTGCACCTGTCAGAAGAAATCTGGCTCAAGAGATTGCTACACGCACGAGCGTAATAGACCAAGACCGTTATCCCTGCTACACTTAAGTAGTTATTAAGGATTTGCTCGGAGATAAACAATTGCACGAAGCCAGGGTTGACGCCCCCATTGTCAGAACGCCTGTGGAGAAGGTGGAGAAGTCCATAACTGAGTGTTTTCTCTGCCATTGAGAGGGAGTGCATATTGACCTGACACAAAACATCGTGGGCTCCATCTTATAAGCCATCAGTGTTGTCTAATATTAATCTCAACTGCTATGCTACCTCATCTGAGGTCAAATGTCTTTTAGTCGAATCATGCTAAAGTTATATACAGTACCCGAGTTAAGGTATAAATAAAAACTTGTGATGGCGGTGATACTAGTGGAAAACACCGATCCGGCTTTCTTGCTTCGGAAGCGTTGAACTTGCGTCCGGTGAGGATGACCTCCATTGCGCATGATTGGCCAATATTAATGAGACGCGTAAAATGTTGGGTGCCACCTGCACTGGGAATAATGCCAAGGTCGATCTTGAGTTGACCGGAGACAGTAATAGGTAGGGCAAGGATGATGATGCACGTCATTACAGAGTTCGTGTCCATCGCGAAGCTGAGTACAGGTACTGATGTCATTGATTGTGATGTCGCCATTGACAGACTACGATGCGAACGATCGTATAGTTTATCCGTCCGCTGACCGCGGCTCTCATTGGCTTAATGCAACTCGGCAAGGCGATACCGATTCGCAAGGAAGTCGCCTCCGCTCACATCATGGTCTGTATACAAATGGCACAAATGTTCACTTAGCACTCTACTTATAATATAGAAAAAAGGGATGAAGTTGATAATAAACTATAATAACCCACTGATATACCCGGTCCTTCATTTTTTTATATCTGCACCCACAGTATATGTTCTCTCACTCCCTGTAGTCACAATAGCTTTCACAGTTTCATCTTGCTCAAACTTTCCAACGCGTTATTGAGCTCTGAGATAAGGTGGTAGACAAACCAGCACGAATGAGCAGTGCAGTATGAGACAGAAGGAGACAAACTGAGGAGGTGAGAGTCTGAGAGGTAAAAGTGTGAATGCTGGTGTTGTTGAATGTGAATAACTCTGGTGGGAGTGAGTAAGAGTCCTGACGAAGCGAATTGTTGGGTTAGGTATATTGGGCAGGATTCTACACGTGACGTGCTTTTATCTGCTTCAGCCTACCTTTGCCTTTGACGTTTTACTCTGGCCTATGATATCCGTTGGCTACAAGTCGACTGTAGAGTGAGAGAAACAGAGACTGCAAGTCATCCACCTAACTCCGGATGTCACTCCCTGACGCATGCTCGTTTTGGACGACTTCCTCTTCTGCAACAGTTCGTCGACATTGACTCCACAGGATCAAATACATCAGTAACACTGATTCACGTCGTGGTGATTAGCGCTTCGATTCCATTTAAAATCACTCTATCGATATGGCTGGAAATCCGTGCGCCACCGTAAACCCGAGGATTTCAAGTCCTGGCTGACTTTACACTCACTCGAGCTGAAAGAGAGGCGGGAGAAGTGGATACAACGAAGAGTGGAGTGATGGGAGGCGAAAGGGACATGCGAAGGCGAGTCTTTCCGTTGGTTTTCTATTCTCCAGCTGGATTCATATATTCGATGCAGGGAACCGTTGTTCAACCACCCACCAAAGAATCCGTTACGCAAGTTATCAAAAGCTCATGCAGCGCAGGAGCTGTCGTAATGATATGTATGATATCTCTATAAATTACCCCATTGCAGATACCATGCTCGTCGATTCGGAAAATATGGCCTCTTTAACAGTAGGCTTCTCTGTTTGAGCCATGACGTAAAGGTCTACTACAAGGGGGGCATGCATGCTGAGGACATCAGAGACTAGGACTGGTATAATAATGGTGTAATCGTGCAATAAAAAAGCAAGGACAAACGAAAATAGATGTGGGCTGAGTAAGACGTTTAAAAAGAGCAGTGCAAGTTATCCTGGACCGGTATGCCACATTCACATTCAAACAGTAGACGTTTCTTCGTCATTTGAGTGTGGTGCTTGAGCTCCTATTCTGCATAAGCTAGTTTGACGACATATAAGAGAATGCAAGCATACCTTCAGTGAATTCAATGTTGCTTATGGACCTTGATCTGTAATTGGTCCCCTCGTTCACTCCCAGTTCGCCTGCCTCCTTCAGATTGATGAGAAGATGGCTTCCGAGGAGACTGAGAATACTCGGGCTTCCAGCCGCATTAAGTATAGTAGAAGCAAGGGGGCTGCTATCTATAATAAGACCTGAAAATATCTGCGCTGCAGAAGAAAATATTACACTGTATTAATTGGTTAGATCATAGTCGTTCCGCGAGAGGATTCTACTCACAATCCAAAATATAACACCTGGTCTTGAATAAGGACCCGAACAAGATGAAACCCTTTGAATCCAGAAGACATTCTCCAGTACTCTGCACCCTTGATGAGAGATAAGCATAGCAGGATTGTCCCATATGTTAAAGGGATGGCCCTCCTCCAAGTCAGCCCAAGCTGATACAGACAATTATTGAAAACTACTCACCATGAGATGATGTTCAGTACTGTAGGGGGTGTATTAGTAAGGCAGGAAGTAGTGTCCTGTGCCAAGGTCACTAATGTAGCTAAATCGAACCATTTCAGTCTATATTGATTCAAACACAAAAGCTAAAATCTAGTCTTACCATCTTGATACCACGTTATATAAATAAGAAGGCTAAGTCCAAGCCCTGTCTCTGTAGCAAATAGAATCTTGAGGAAGATCGAAATCTTCTTGTCTACACTGCACTTCAACCAGAATATCATTCAGGAAAGCAAGATATTTACCCTGATGGTAAAGCGCTAATACACGGATTTGTAGAATGTCTGTAAATAGTCAAATACGTGCAATGGCTTCATTATTAATAAGAATGTCAATTGGAACAATCTCCTTACAATCTACAAATAGGATTGCACTCAAACCTGATAACTAGTTTAAGAACATCTATGATATCAAATGATATTGGGCCACTTATCACAAATTTGACTGGCCCAAAAAGTTGCTCGACCTCACAAGTAAGTCAATAATATATGCAAATAGTCAGAGTGAACAACACACAACTACAAGCAAATTATTTTGGTTTGAAGATCAGCATGATTTTTTAATGAGCTAGTCCATTCCTACCTCAAAGAATCCTGACTCAATCGGTTATCTAAAAGTAGAGGTAGATCATACCAATTGTCTTGAATAAGTAGATAAGTTTTGTAAAAAGAGACTTACTGAGGATGGTACCGATTGGTCCAAGAAGTGCAATGTAGCGATTCTACGTTTCCAACGTCAGAAAAGGCAATTCTGCAATAGTCTTGTGAATACCCTTACGGAAAAATAGATTAAGCTTGTAGGACTGCGTGGGCTACCCTTCACTACTGTCACTGAAGGATATACCAAAAGAGCTGAGGATCAAGCTCACCCAAAAGTACTTAACCTGCAGATTGGCAGGTCAGCAGATGTGGAGACAAATATTCTGAAGTGTCACTGTGTAATCATCATACCTCTTTGTCCATAGTTGTAACTTGAGTTTTTGCACTTGTCAGTAGGAGCTTGACTCGAGAGTCTTACACGCACGGGCATAATAAACCAAGGCAGTCAATACTGCTACAAAGAAGCAGTTGAACAGAAATATTTCGGAGACAATTAACAACACAAAGTCGGGATCAACGCCGTCACTATCAGAACGACCATGAAGAAGGTGGATAAGTCTAAAGTTGTGTGTTTGGTCTGTCATTGAAGGGGAGCTCACACGACAGAGTTCATCCAGGTATCTGTTTTATAGGGCATGTAGCATTGTCTAATGTGACGGACCAAACTGAGATTATGCTTTATCTGAGGTTACGATTCAGTTAGTCAAATCAAGTTCATTTATACACAATATCAAGGTTGAGACGCGTATTGGTTATCTGATCTGTTTGTTGAAGATCCTTGTGTGATGCATCACCAAATCGAACACGAAAATGTATTGGAATTTACTGCTAAGACATATATTTTTTACATATTGTGGATCCTTATATTTGCTTATAAAGTCTACATGTAAATATATTGCCTTGTCAGACTCTGCACGTGTTGAGAGGGAGAACTTAAGGGGGGCACGCATAGACAAGGGGTGAGGTGACAATTGACTGCTCAGTGTCTCTCGTCCTTATATTGTATGTATTCTAACTGAGACATTATGAAGTCATCGTCTCGTGGTTCGTCCGTTGATGAACTAATCATCTCATAATACTCCCCTTCAAACTCTTACTAGTCTGAGTAAACTGGTAAGATGTTTGACTTGTGGTACATGTAGTGCTTTAGTTAATATATCTGCTCGTTGATTGTTCGTCCGTATGTATTTTGCATTTATGTACTCTAACTCAATGTAGCATTTAATAAAATCTTTCTTATGATCTAAATGCTTCGTTTGTTCTGAATATTTGAGTTCGTCCGATGTAACCGTTCGTATAACAGCATCGTTATCACAAAAGATATTAATTGGTGCATCAGAGACCTGCAGAATCTCTTCAGCTAAATGTGTAAGTGCGATCGCTTCCTGTGTTCCTCTTGCAAGAGCTATTAATTCAGCTTCATACGTCGAATTTGCCACCAGTGTTTGTCTTTTACTTGACCACGAAACTAATGAATGCTC